ATTAAGTCCTCGTTGAGAGAGGCAAAATCACCTTGGCGGGTGGACTGGAGTAGTTTGAGTTTCAAACGAACCAGGATAAAATTATCAGTGTCCTTCCATTAGTATTGCGCTAGAAAAGAAGAAAAACTTATTCAACCCCCCCCCCCCCCTTCTAAGTGTTTTCTCAACCTTCATGTCGGTCACACAACAATCTTATATGACAATTATTAGAAGATTTTAAAGGGTGCAGTGACGATTGCTTGTGGCACAGAGATTAAATCTTTACAAGACATCGAAAACATGTCATTTGATTGCAGTTGTAACATATGAAGGTCTAAATCTATGGCACCGAATATTAGGCCATATAAGTGATAAAGGGATGCAAGTTATGCACTTAAAGAAAAAATTGTCAAGTCTTCGGTTAGTAGAAATTGACATATGTAAAGATTATATTTGAAAAGTAGAAAAGAAGCAGCTTTCAGACAAGTGGAAGAACCCCAAAGAGAAACTTGACTCTACTCACTATGATGTTTGGGATCCAACAACTATCTTTTTCTTGTGAAAAAAAAAACTAATGTGACTTTTATCGATGATCATTCTTGGAAGATATGATATACTTTCTAAAATATAAGTTTGAAGTATTTGAGGTTTTCAACAAAGGAAAAGCCGTGTGGAAAATGAGACAATATTGAAGTTCGAAAAGCTAATAACCAACAATGGTGGTGAATGTGAAGACATTATATTCAATAATTTTTGTTATGAGTACAAAATTATAATGGAAAAAATTGTGCCAAGTTGATGTAGAAGGGCTGACTGCGCGTATAGAAGAAGAATCGCGCGTCGGAAAACATTTTAATATTTAAGCAATTTTCTGTTTTAATATTTAAGCAATTTATATTTTATTTATTTTATTGAATTTTGTTTTGGATTAAAGTCCCATAAGGCACATTAGGGTTATTTTATTTTATGTAGTTAAAGACCTTTTGCGTAGCCATAAGGGTTATCTTCCATATAATAAAAGTTGAAGTTTTCTTTATTCTTGGTGGACTCCAGAGCTTATCTGATAGATTTTTCACTTGCAACCCTGTTCTTTATTCTAGGTTTAGTGCTTGCTATTTCCTAGAGCTTCTGACTGCGTCAGTTGGCATCAAAGTAGATTTCTCCCGTTCTTTTCATAGCTTGATGACCAAGGCGGATCAATCAGTGAGTATAGTTGATCTTGAGGGAATTATCATGACTTTTACCGCGACTCTAATTTCCTTAATTGAACAGATGGTGAATTTAGTAATTCACGTGAACAACAACAGGAATTAGCAAAGAGACGAGAAAAGAGAATAGGTTAGGGTTCCACGGGGTGGAAACAATCATCGTGCTTTTATTGCTGAAAATTTAAGTTCCAAAGAAGAGAAATCCTACAAGGAAGAGGTCGTTGATCATGAGAATTGACATAACCATGATTATCGAGTAAAGGTTGATATTCCGGTATTCCATTATTCTATGGAACAATGAGAGTGAAGGAGTTTCTGGATTGGCAAATCGACGTCGACAAATTCTTCGATGTTATGGTTGCCCCTGAGAATAAGCAAGTTAAGATGGTTGCAATCATGCTTAAAAGTATTTTCGTTGTCTAGTGGGATAAACTTGTTGTTCAAAGGCAAAGGAAAAGGAAGGGGCCCGTCTTAACTTGGCGAAGAATGTAACAATTGATGCTAGAGCGCATTTTACCAGAGGATTATTAACAAATTGTTTATAAGATTTACATCGAGTGTGTTCAGGGAAAGAGAACTGTGACTGAATACACTACTGAGTTCCTGCGTTTTTCTGAGCATAATAAACTAGGAGAATCAGAGAGTTAAAAAGTGGCTTGATATATCAGTGGTCTAAAGATGGGTTTACAGACTGTATGGGCCATTTTTTAGGCATCCAGACTAGATTTAAAGGCAGAATTAATAGAGAAATCCCCTCGAAACTTATCATCTTTTAGGTATTCACCCCAGAATAACTTTGAATCAACCGACAACAAGGAAAAGAGTGCAATAACTCAGGATTCCAACCATCATAATAAGGGGACTAGCAACCTTAGCAGTGTGCAGCAGGGTAAAGTACCAAATCAGAGGCAGAAAATCCATATGCTAGGCCCACTATAGACATGTGTTATCATTGTAATGGAAGAGGTCACAAATCAAATGTTTGTCCTACAAGGATAGTCATTGTTGTTGCAGAAGAAAAGGAAGAGGGAGAGGAAAGAGAAAGACATGCACTTGAAAATGATGAATATGCAGGGGTTGAATTTGTAGAGGAAGAATCTGATGAGAGACTAAATTTTATGCTGCAGAGAATTTTACTAGCATCTAAAGATCTAGGGCAACACAAGAATTTGTTTAAAACACGTTGTTCTATCAAGAACAAGGTGTGTAACTTGATTGTGGATAGTGACAACATGGAGAATCTGGTCTCACGAAAATTGGTAGATTATTTGAATTTATCTATAAAACCCCATGAGATGTAATACACTCTTGGTTGGGTAAGTAAGAGATCCCAAGTTCGAGTAACACTATCAATGCAAGGATCATATCCCCATCAAAAAGCATTACAGAGAAGAGGTACTTTGTGATGTTCTTGATATGAATGTTTGTCATGTTTTACTTGGTAGGTCTGGGAAATTTGATAATGATATCACTTATCGAGGAAGGGATAATGTGATGATGTTTACATGGGACACCCATAAAATTGTTATGGCGCTTGTTTTACACTTTGACAAGAGTTCAAGAGGAAAGAAGGATAGTTTCTTGGTGATGACACATAGTGAAAAGGAGCTTGATGAGACTATTAACAAAATTGAGTTTTTATGTCCAATACTAACTAAAGTGGTGATGAGATTTGTAAAGAAGAAAACAATAATTCCAAAAGAAGTGTTAGAGGTCCTAAAGGATTTCAAAGAGTTGACCATAAATGAGCTACAAAACAATTTGTCTCATATGTGAGATAAACACATGCAAGTTAAAGTTTTCAATGTGGGAGAATATGTGATGGCGTTTTGTTTAAAGAGAGGTTTTCAGTTGGTACTTACAACAAGCTGCAACCAGATGAAGCTCTTTACCAAGAAGAGAACTCAGAGTCGAGTTCTTCAGAAGTGAAGAAGACTGATGTAGAAGGGTTGACTGCACGTATAGAAGAAGAATCGTATGTCGAAAAGTATTTTAATATTTAAGCAATTTTCTATTTTTAATATTTAAGCAATTTATATTTTATTTGTTTTATTTAATTATGTTTTGAATTAAAGACCTATTAGAGTATTTTATTTTATATATTTAAAGACCTTTAGCATAACCATAAGGGTTATCTTTTCTATAATAAAATTTGAAATTTTATTTATTTATGGTGGACTTTAGAGCTTATCTGACAGATTGCGCTTATAACCTTGTTCTTTATTTTAGATTTAGTGCTTCCTTTTCCCTAAGACTTATGACTGCATCACAAGTACGACTCAATACAATAGTGTAGCTTGATATTTTCTAAGACTTCCGACTGCGTCACAAGTACGCCTCAATACAACATTGTAGCAGAGCGTAAAAATAGAATATTGACTGAGAGAACCAAAAATGTATGCGTGCACTCAGGATTACCAAAGTAGTTCCGAGAATAATCCATCAATTCCCTTGGAGCACAAAACACCAAAAGTGGTATGGGTAACAAATGAGCCCTGTAGCTAGGGATGAGGATAGGTCAGATCAGCCTACAAGGGCCTATGGCCTAACCTATTTAAGGCCGGACTAGACCAGACTTATTTAATAAAAAGGTCAGACTTAAGTTTTTTAAAAAAATTCTATTTAATTAAATATGACAGGCTTAGGCTATTAAAAAAAGCCTATAAAACCTTATAGACTGACTTATATTTTCACGAATATTAAAAATAGTCTAAATAGACTGACTTATATATGCATATATTAGAAAAGAGACTAAATATGCTTGCCTATATATGCATATATATTATAGAAAAGACTAAATAAGTCGGCATATATATATATATATATATATATATATATATATATATATATATATATATATATATATATATATATATATATATATATATATATATATATATATATATATATGCTGACTAATAAGGCTTCTTATGTAATATAGATTAATTGAAAACCTTACTGAAAAATAGGCTTTCAAGTCAAATCAAACTTTTAAAAAGGTTAGGCTAGACCCAAAAAAAGAGCCTATAATAGGTCACATCCTTTTAAGTTTATGGCAAAATACATTTTTTAGTCCATTAAATTTACTTTGGGATCCATTATGGTCTTTTATCTTTAAAAAGTTACAAAATAGTCCTTTAATTGTTCAAAAAGGATCACGTTTGTCCTTTCCGTCTAATTTTTACTAACGGAATCAACTTTTGCTTAGGTGGCATCTGACGTGTCGCTGATGTGGTACGCGTGACATGTGAATTCATTAAATACCTAGAAAATTTTAAAAAACATTGTTTTTTCCAAGATTCAAACACTTATTCTCTTGGTTGCTAGACAACATATCAACCACTACACCACTTCACACTTCTTTATATGTCTTACACAATAATTTGGTTTGATTGTCTAAATTCTTTCTCTCACTTCACTATGAAACAAACATATTTGCACTAAACCATTCACAATATAAGTGTTTGTATATCCCATTGACATACCATCACTAATGAAATTATAATATGAGACTGTAAATCTAAAATGAATTTTTTTAACGCATACTTTTGCTTATCTTTTATTTTCTCACATAACAAAGCACAAATTCATCACCATGTTAACATAAACTTCTTTCAAATTGGACTATTCTATAAACTAATATCTCTTTCAACTTTTACTACAACATTTACACATATTTAGTCTCACGCTATTTTACAAAAAAATCCAGCAACATGATAACAAGCCAAACAACCTAACCTTCATTAATAACAAAGCTAATTTTTTTAAATTCACAGATATCACTAACAAAAACTCAACCTCCAAATCTGAAAGATGAAAACAATTACCACCCCTAAACACAACACTTCCTTTTTAATTGACACCATAACATACCATTCATTTACCATTCACTGTAAATCATTCAAACACCTAACATCGTACAAAGAAAGGAAGAACGAAAACACCACCACCCACACCAGTCGACCATCACGCCACATCGAATCTTCCAAGTCCACAACACAGTCGTTGCGTTCACATGTCGAATCACCTCCAGATCGACTTCTCCACTATCGATCTCGCTCAGACTAACACGTAATCGACATCGACGAAACAGCCAACACCTCTACGCGTTTAAATCGCAGTCAGCAGCTCTGCCACAAATCTCATATATGCGGCTACATCTGCACATCCTTCCAATCCAACGGTTGAACGACATCCTCTGCGAGCACTGCAGCAACGCCTCCATCGGTCGGCCGTCGCGCCGCACCGGACCCGAATACTGCGACTGCGCTTCACAACCACCCCTTTTTCGACAGTCGCTCCTCAGCAGTCATGTGGACCACCGTTCACTGTCTTTCTTGTCGGGTTCACGTCATTTTGATGTTGCTATGTGCTGAGAAAAAAAGATGAAAGAAAGATAGTTATTTAAGGGTTAGTCATAAAACAGAAAAACCTGAAATTTAAGTATCAAACCTGTAATCATCAAATTAGTCACTCAACTTTTAAAAAATGACTACAAGCAAGCACGTGCAATTTCTATAGTTATTTAATTGTCTAATTGTGCAAAAAAATGACTACAAGCAAGCACGGGCAATTTCTATAGTTATTTAATTGTCTAATTGTGCAATTTCTATAATTATTTAATTATTTTAGACATACAAGCAAACACGTAGTGACCTAGTGGTTGGAGTGTTGTCAAACAATAAAACAAACCTGATTTTGAATCCTAACTCAGTATAAATTTTTAGAATTTTTCTTAAAATTTTGATGACTTTAAAGATGACTATATATGTCAAATCACATACCCACTTCAAATGCCAACATGGAAAAATTAACGCCGTTTACTTTTTAAAGATAAAGGATCATAATAGACCCCGAAATAAACATAAATAACCAAAAATGATATTTTGCCTAAATTTATCATAGGACATACCCAAATCTTATAAAGCTTAGCCTAGTCTATTTCCCCAGCTTGTTAAATTTGAGTTCTGCATGTCAAATTTCCAATAGTCAACAGTAAAATTAACAAATTGACCTTGAATTTTCCACATGTTCATTCATTTATTACCATTGTAACTACTAAGTTTATAAATTAAACCTATTCTTGAATGCTAAAGAACTAAAGCACATTCAAAACAATATTATTCTTATTGTTCACAGATTTTCATTATCATATCTCAAACAATCAATCAAAACTCTTAAAATTGATTTTTCACTTTAAAAAATGACATTTTTCATGGGAAAAAAAAAACTAAATTGTAACAAATGAGCTCAATATCTTGGTAAATTTGAGTTGAGCATGTCAAACTTCCATTAGTAACAGTAAAAATATCAAATTGATCTTGAACATTGTGCAAACTCAATAAACAACAACAAAGCCAAAAATATAGGCAAAATATGGGAATGACTTGTGGATAAGAATCTGTCAAGTTTTATATAGGGTTGATAGGATCAATCACTCACTATAGAAACAAAAAGCATGCTTGCAATAGAAGCTACACAAACTATAACAATGCTTAATCTTCCGTGATAAAGTACAAAGAACATAATTAACTGGATGCAACTGTTTGCCGCCTTTATTAGGACATACTACTCATTGATTTAGTTAGAAGACATCGGGTGGGAAATTCCCTTGAAATCCATTGCTCTGTTGAGCCTGCCTCAAATGCATTCCCAATGCATAGTTATTCATCTGTTGACAAACACAGTACAGAATTCATCAGCATGTATGAAAAAAATATTTAATGTACAAGAGCTTAACTTTGGAAGTTGATTTAGACATTTAGTTCAGATTTTTTATCCACCACTTTAATAATTTGTTTGTCTGAATATAACAAGGAACCAAATTTATTTTATAGGTAAAATTAATTTCTTATCAGATGCAACAATTGAGCATTGGCCCCGCCTTATTTGCAGCCGAAGCAGAATTGTGTATCCAACAAAAGGAAGAAGAATAAGAGAAGACCGACTAATGTGAACTCCCAACAATCACTTTAAAATCTACATATAGTATTTGGCAGATTACTAAATTAACAAGTCCCATACTCCCAACCCCAAAGGGAGATTATTACATGACAGTAATGTATTTCTAGTTACTAGGATTCGAACAAAATGTGCTTCAGATTCAGGAATCAATCACGAAACTCTAAAATTATAATCATGAAGTAGTTTCTAATACCTATGCAGTCATACCACTTTCCCCCCTTCTATCCCATTTAGAAAGGAATAGTATCAAAACTGAATCCTATCTTTAAATAGAATCACACCAAATTACGAGGAAATATTAACTCCTTTAACTAAGCGAACTATTTGACAATGCAAAAAAAGAGAGAAAATTGAATCAGACCTCAAGAGTTCTGATCTGTTCCTGGTATTGAGATGCCAACTGCTTCAACTGCTGCAATTCTTGATTCTTATTATCATAATCAGCAAGGCGTTCTTGCTGAATCCTGAATGCATTTTTAAAAGAATTTTTCTCCTTAATCAGCACTTCAATTTGCTGCTTCAGCATCAAATTTTCCTGAAAACAAAATCATCTTGTGCCGATTAAGATAAAAGCTCAACTGAGGATAACAGGGGGAAAATACAATCCAGTTACTCCTAACACATTAATAGGTTCAAAGATACAAGGGTATCAGAGCACACATGGACATAGAGGTCAACTGCGCATAAAAAAAACCATGGCCAGGACCACCAGAAATCCGGGTACTCTGATCATAATAAAAACCATTCTTGAACAGCTATCAACAAATATGCTGTAAAAGATTTAGCAGGAAGAGAATGCCTGACAAAATATTCAAAGATCTATAGAATAGGTTGTCTAAGCAAGTTTGTTCCGCTCTCTTCCCCCAGTGTCACCTTGACACATAAGCAAGTAAAACTAAAGAAGTTACATAGACTTGTTATACACACCACTGTTTACTCTTCCTCAAACAAACAAATTTCAAAACACACACTACTGCCCAACAGATAGTTCAATAACCCTTGTTCTTTAAAAAAGGGATTTGTGACCTACAAGACAATACAATTTTAAGATGAATCATAAATGATAGCATAAATAGTTAAACACCTTCTGAAGAGAATCTGTTGCCTCAGCCTTTGCTCGTTCGCTGATTGATTTCTCTAGAACCTCCAGCATTCTAGCAGCACGTGCTCTAGCATCATCAACACTGGTGGCAACCATCATTTCTCGAACAAAAAAGTCAATCCATTCTGCTCCATCTGCAGGAAGGTTGTTCAAAGTAGACTGATTCTCAGAAGCAGAATTATTCACATTATCTTCCAATTTACCTGCATAAAGACATGTCAATATCTTGGTTGATGATTTCACTGTCAATTACCAATACTTTCAAAAAACCCATTCAACCAATGTTGTTAAAATCTGAGTGGTGGTGCAGAGATATAGAAACTAAACATAACCCCAAAATGGTGCATAAACATTCAAAAATAGCAATATGCACATAATGAAAGAGATGATCTTCTAATAATTAATAACTAAAAGGGTAACAGATGTTTTTTATTGTTTATGTCCTTCAAAGAATTCTATTCCCAAACCATCTAAAGGATGTCACCACTAGGCTTAAAGTAACCTTTACTATTGGAGGTTGGTAATGCCATTGTTCTCGTAGAAAACAGAGGAGGCAAACCATAAACACAAAGAAGGAACAGTGGAGAAACAGAGGCATTCTCAGTTCATACGCAGAACAACAAGAAAGGGAGAAAACTTTGCAAAAGAAGATATGCACAAAGCAGGGGGGAGTGGGAAGAGTCTCGGAAAACAAAGCACATAATGAGAAGAATTTATGAAGGATAACAAAATATAGGTCACTTAAAATATAACTAAATAACATATACCCTTAAAAAAGTAGAATTGTTAAAAATAATGAATATTTGAGGGATTTCATCCATTAAACCATAATAGCACATGAGTGATTGGGACGCGATAACGGTGTGATTCATGGTCGTTGCATCAGTTGAAAGTGGATTGCTGGCCGAAAGCATCGTACTGGACCACGCCGCCGCTCCATGGTTGCGCACTATATTGCTAAATTGACATCATGGCATTTAACTCGGCCACTTGTCCCTCACAGCGCTTGTCCCAGTCAACAAAGAGTAACATACTAGTGATGTGCTTGTGGGGCTCAAAAGTTAACAGAAAATTTGAAAAAGAAAATAATGTGAGCAAAGAAGAGTGAATATGCAATGTGCATGTGATGTGAGTAGGTGAAAGAGAGTAGATTAGATTTATTACAAAAGAGAGTAAAGATGAAAGTATTTGTTTTTTGGGTAAAGAGAGTAGATGGGATTTGTTACAGAGGGACTGAGGGAGTGACACTCAGCATGACTGAAACAACATAGAGACTGAGAGAGGTCAACAACCAATGAATGGAATTAAAAGAAAAAGAAAGTCATTAGAATTGTAAAAATGCCACAGGATGAAGAATGAAAACTATGGAAATGACGTTTATAGATCCTGTTTACATTTTGAAAATGTTTTCTAAAATATGTGTTCAAAGTAAACAGGGCCTTATTGTTTCGACATTTCAAAAAATAGAGACCTCTTGTAACAAAAATATGAAAGAAAATGAAAACATGAAATGCAACCAAGTAACCAAACATTTACTTGCCAAAGCCAACATACCTTGATCCCCACTGACATCAATCTCTGATTCTTCAGCAGTTCCGAAATTCCCACCCCCAGCCCCCAAGTAAAGCTCATTCAGGCTCTTGATGGCAGCATCTAGATCATTGTCACTTTCTTGAAGAGCTCTCTCAAGAACCTGAAAGCTCAAACATCAATACAGGAGCAAAAAATTCTTACATTAAATATCACATAAAATCATACAATATAGTCGCATTTTCCCTCCCTCCCTCCACTAAAACATCTCTCTTACTCTCGTGAACAAACAAAAAGAATAAAATCATTTTCACTTCCTGCCACAAAACACAATATATCTCATTAAAACAAAAAAAACCCTTATAAAAGAAACTAGTACTCATCTTCAACTAATCAGTTATACAATTCAAATTAACATATCATCATTCATAAACAAGAATTATCAACACAGACACAACTGTAAACACTAAAC